AGATCGCGAGCCAATCAGAGGGACCTCTCCGCCAATCACGGCGCACTTGCGTTGCCCGACCACTAGCTGAATAAGATATAACACCGGAGGCGGAGCTTTACTATGTCAGTACCCTGAAGAAGCCTGCGACATGGCAGGCGAAACGTCGGCCTATCTGCCAACGACGCGGCGTCACCCGGACAGCCTAGAAGTAATGGACTCGAGCCGCGGAAGCCTACGTGTACAACGGCTAAGGTCATTAGTCCCGTAAGAGTAGTGTATGATTTCTTCTCGCGAGGTGGCATTGATCCAGCTGCGCTGGATGCTGGAATCTGGTGACGACCTACCATCGGCTAGCGGGGTTTTCCCCATCAGCGGGACACCGCCCCAGCCGGGACAAGCTCTAAACTCCCGACCGGCCCCCCGACATGTGTGGACTAGCATGTTAGTGTAATTGTGTGTAAGTAAGGGCTGGGAATAGGACAAGGAAGTCGAAAGAAAGATCGCGGGTGGTCCCGTTCGTTAAGGTACTGCTCCGGCATTCGCCTGGTATTGATCGGAGAAACTGCGGAAAACTACAAAACAGAGCAGCTGGCCTCTAGAATTCTCCTCCAGTCAGCGACTGAACTCGACGTAATTATCCGTAATTATCTAGCCAGTGTCGAAAATCCCCTTCGGGACTTGATCCTAGGTCCTCCATTTCTGAGTTACGGCAGTGACATACGTCGATGCCCTGGGCAACTTTTTCCAGTCATTTGTTCATCATTTTTCTGTACAGAAAATTGACACTGAAGGAACGTCAGTGTTTACGCGGAACTATTTCGGTTTGAAAGTGGATGAAAGAGATACAGCGGTTTAAACGGTTATTTGATTTCCTGTGCGCAATCGTGTTGTAAATATTTCCGCTGGATGCTGCAAAAAACCGCTGAAGTTCAAATAGTTGAACATCGCGTCTATGATAACAAATTTACTTAGCTTATTTAAAAACTAAGCATACAATGACACGTTAAAACACATGATGCGTTTAATTTCTCAATTCGTAACCATTTCTCAAATTTGCACTCCAAACTGCACACAAGGAAACCATCGCACTACTCTTATAGCAAACCAGAGAAAGAAACTTCCAGAAAGTGACCCCAGGAGCACGGTTAGATAGTCAAATTGGATGGAATCTGTACCAAAAAATTAAGTGTGCGTCAGTTTTCTGTTTAAATTACATACCATCTGGTTGCTCACTTTTCTGTACCGATGTAAAATGATGGAACGATTACTGTCTAAAATGGGCTTACGATATGCTCACCAACAGGCGCGCACTAAACCATTGTTTCTTAATGTATTGGTTTATTGATTAAGTACTGTAGGCATTTCAAATATTTCAATTAAAGGCGCTGCCGTTACCATAATGTTTACTTTCGCGTATACGTACGTTTATACGGAGTAATATACGTAGTGTAGGGAAAGTTATGTAATGCTACGGAAAATCGATTTCGAGATTTCAACGGAAATACACGTTTTAGAGTCCCATGATACCAAAAAAATTATTTTGCAAATCGCCCATCCTTCCGCCTGCCTATTCCGTCCGTCTGTATGTGAACAACACTAGCGCCCAAACCATGCGTGGGACTTTTTTTTTAAATTGACGAAACCCCTGTCCATTTGGCTTCAGTTGAAGATCTGCGATTATGAAAATCATTCATTTGTTTTTTTGGGTACTTTACATGAAGCCACTGGGAAATTTTTAAAATAAAAAAAAATGGCTCTAAATTATGTGTCTTATAAATATAACATAGATCCGATTTTCATGGTTAATTCTGAATTTCCTAAATTTCCAATAGTTTGCATTATTTCTTGAGTTTATTTCAAAAGTTTGAGTTTTTCTACAACGACAAAATTAAAGATAGAGATTTCTTCTTCAAATAAAATTTGTTGTCCAAAGTTCTTTTATTAAGGTAAGGTACATTTTTTGAAAATTTTAGTAGTTTTCGCGTAATAATCTGTGCAATTTTAAATTTACAAAAACAAGGTTTTACTAAAATTTATAAACCGCTCAAAATGTTTTCTTTACATTTTTGGTAGGGAGTTTGCTAAATGCATTATATAAGATGATATAAATACCATTTGGCTGTATTCTTTGTTTTTTTTAAAATTACATAAATTAAATTTTTTGACTTGACTTTCACGTCGTTAATATTTACATTAGTAGCAATGGCTCACTTTATTATATTTATGAGAACATGTGCTTTAAATATTGTAGCATGAAGTTTTTCGTAAACTCAATCGTTTTCTGTCAAAACTAGCTCAAAATGTTGCATTTTCAGATACGCTCAAACGTCATTTTCTCAAAAACAACTCCAATTGTTTTCTTCAAGCACTTTGAACGGATAGTGTTAATTGCACTCTTTAATATGACGTAAAGTTCATATCAGGATATTTTTTTAATTACACAAATGTTTTTTTAAATTACTGTCATGTCGGTAATATGCACATTTCCAGTAATTTGTAAACACTATTGTATTTGTGAGTTAATGTGCTACAAATGACTTTTAACGAAGTTTTTCGAAAACTTCAAACTTTTCTGTGAAAAAGTGCCTCAAATTTGAAAAATACTGTAGCGCTTAAGCGCTATTTTCTTAAAAACAGCTCCAAATATTTCAAAGGAAATTGCCATTTAGAACGCGGTTTTACTGTCCGCTAATATTCTTAAAATAACATTTCAATTCTGTAATTAGTAAGCCGAAAAATTAAGAAAATTTCAAAAACATGTATTTTGGACGGCGACAGATGGCAGCAGGCAAGAGTATGTGGCAAGTTCGAAAAGCTAGCCGAGACCAAAGGAAATAGAAAACGAATACGGGAAAGTGTACAATTCTGTAGCACCACTAGTTTATTTATTATATAAGCATATTTCGACGCCTTTGCCATTACCATCAGATGATGAATAAAACACCGGTTAAAACAATTAAAAAAATATACTTTATCAAATATTATTGACAAATAATATTTTGAATTTAATTAAGGAAAAGTTAACAGTATGTAACAAAATGAAAGAAAAGACAGTGACCAATTTATTTCAATACTACAGGGAATATGTTTTTAATATGTATGTATAAAAGAATAAAATGAATAATGATAACAAGACAACTTAACAGTCATCACGTTTGTAATTACAACACCTTTTATTTAAAAAATATTTCTTAACCTGTTTCCCTCAAGTTATAATTTTAGTTTTTTATTTGTTCAATTTTTAAGTATTATTTTGTGTTTTAATTTGTTTTTTTATACTACTGTATTCCCTCCTATTCCACTTACTACTGTTTGTACTACCTCGGTAATAATGTGTAAGTGAAATAATATTGTGGTACTTTGTCATGATGTATCTTCTTAATATAAATTGTGAATAAATTAGATAATGAAAATAATAATAGATTAGAAAGAATTATCTTTTCATTTACTGCCAAACTCGCGGTTAGCTTGCTGATCATGAAGGTGTTATTTTTCAACTGTTATTAATAATAATTATTACGAGTTGACTGTTATTACCACAACAGTTATTGAGGAAACGTTGTTAAGCCCATCTCTAATGTGAAGGCGTAGAATCCTGCTCAGTGATAAGTTTTGAATTCAAATCTTAGACTGGAGTGCTCGTAGCATTGCCTTTTGAATTTAATATAGACATGTTCTTTACTCACACACTACGAACCCGAGGTACAGGTTGAAAACTACAGGTTCCAAGTAGTTGGAAGATTTCTTCTCACTGACTTTCCCCTTCTCACCGTCACTTTTTACTTATTCCAATGTATTTATCGTACATATTTATGTTGCTATTTGCTTCAACATTTAAGACGTATATTTCAAATGAATAAATTGAATAGTTTGGATTCGCAATTCCTACACCACTGCAACATCTGACATTGAAATTCAAAACTCTAAAGTCTGTCAACTGTTTGAGAAATCTGCAAATTTCGTCTCATATAGTCACAGAGTTATGATTCTTCTCTACTTGCTTGTTTCAGGAATACTACCTCCAATTTTTTCTAGTGTAGTGCCAACATCGGTAATTTTCTATTATTTAAATAAAATATACTTTAAATAATAATTTTAATTATTTTAATTTGACCACTTTCCTTTGTTACTATTAATCATGAATTGCTTAATATTCTCTTCGTTATTTATTTGTTTGCAGTTATTGAAGCACGAATTTTCCAAAGATGAAAGTACGTGTATGGCAAATTACACAATAGAAACATTTTGTGCAGTAATTACATAAGCTTTTTTAACCACGAATGGTAGTTTCAAAAGCTCGAGAGGGATCAAGCTAACAATTCATCATTCAAGCGACCTTCCTTCACTGAGCGTGTAGTTACCGTTTGTGAAACAAATGCTTTGTTCATTTTAAGAGAAATTTGAGCGAAGGGTATAGTACTATGGTTGTTTCAATTTGGTCTGTAATAGGTCTCTTTGTTGCAAAACAAACTCTACATCAAAGTTCTGTTCTCAGTATTACTAAATTCAACCAAGCATAATGCAGTATGTCTTTGTTGTTTGAGTATCAAGTTTTTCTTTTAATTGTGAAATGCTCAAGCTGAAAAATTGTTCGCGTACATATACGGTTGGTTATCCAATTAATGTTGTATGATGAGGAAAATCTGTTAATTCTCGTAGTTACTATACATTCATCATGTTTAATCTGTCTTATATTGTATGTTGATGTTTGAGAGACGGGAGTATATTGATACTTCACAACTATCGCTAGAAATTCTTCAAATAAAAATATTAATAAATAAAACATGAAGATGCTTTGGTGTCAATTTAAATCTTATCGTTTGCGAATTTTTATAGTAAAAAAGTATTATATTTGAAAACACACTTTGCAATTTACGTACAAAAGAAGCTCTATGCTGAATTATAATAATTCTTGAACCAGGAATATTATTTTAATGTACGTAAATGAAGTGATAAAAAGCTATCATATATATTTAATAAACATATTTAATTTATAAAATTATTTTTATGTCACTTACATTGTAGATCCCGTAGATGAAAGGATTACAGCAACTGTTCGACATGGCCAGCCAGTCGCAACAAAACCAGATGATGTTGATATAGCGGTATCTGTAAACATATTTAAACTTCATTCAATACTGCACAAATTGAAATATTATTTGAAACTGTATTAAACATATTAAATAAACAAGATAAAATTATGAATTTTATATGTTATAGATGTATATTAATGACATTTGAATTGCTATGAATAAGCCACGATGTTCCAAAAAGTGAAGAGGAGAGCGAGGTAGCGAAGGAGAGGGTAAACGAGAGAGAGAGAGTAAAAGAGAGAGAGAGAGAGAGTAAAAGAGAGAGAGAGAGTAAAAGAGAGAGAGTAAAAAGAGAGAGAGTAAAAGAGAGAGAGAGTAAAAGAGAGAGAGAGTAAAAGAGAGAGAGAGAGAGTAAAAGAGAGAGAGTAAAAGAGAGAGAGAGTAAAAGAGAGAGAGTAAAAGAGAGAGAGTAAAAGAGAGAGAGAGTAAAAGAGAGAGAGAGTAAAAGAGAGAGAGTAAAAGAGAGAGAGTAGAAAGAGAGAGAGTAAAAAGAGAGAGAGTAAAAAGAGAGGGAGTAAAAGAGAGAAAGGAAAAGAGAGAGAGTAAAAAGAGAGAGAGTAAAAAGAGAGAGAGTAAAAGAGAGATAAGAAAAAGAGGAGAGAGGTAGTGAGAGGGAGAGAAAGAGAGAGAAAGAAAGGGAGAGAAAGAAAAAGAGAAAAAGAAAGGGAGAAAAAGGGAGAGAGAAAGATGGAGTAAGAGAAAGAGAGAGAAGGAGTGAGAAAAAGAAAGAGATCAATATTTAGCAATAATAAAGTGTTATCTTTTGGAGAAGCATGTTTAAAGTTGAAGACGTTAAGGAACTTGACTACACCAACGTTGAGATATATTATTCTTTAAAATGAATGTTTGAAAAGTTTCAGATGTTTGAGAAGCGCAGGTATAAAATTATGAAACGAGGGATTCGGGCATAAATAATGAAAACATTTTTTTTTCGTTTCCGAGGAAAATGCAACGTGAAACCGCAGATTTACACTAATGATAAGCACAAAAAACATACAAGTGACTGCCTTTGTGTCTGTTCATGCAAACATTTAACAATTCAGGCAGCACTTTTTCCTGTCCTTCATACAGAACAATAATTTCAACTTCGTTCAAAATGTTAGATACTATAATTCACAACTGAATACCTTCAGGTGTTATACTATAGTTAGAAACTCAGAGTTTTTAAAATGTCTTAACATTTTTTGCGAGTAAATATTTTCAACAGAATGAAAGGTAATCACATAGAATATCGGAGGATCCCTATAACGGATATATTAATGTATTCCAAAATTGTTACAATAAATTACTTGTTATATTCTATAATATTAAAGATTTAAAAATAATTCAGACTTACTATTGCGTGCGTTTAAATTTTATCATTGATTTTATCATTGATTTAAACAATGGGAATATACTTTTAACTTCTACTCTCGCATTTCTTTTCTACAAGCGTGGACAGTCGCCCACGTGGGTTCGAAAGAGCAGCGCTATAGGCTGGAGGCGCAAAGAAACACCTTACGTCCTACGGCGTGCGATGGCGGCGGGGATTTGCTGAGTAATTAGTCCCGTAAGTGTAGTGCACGTTTTTTCGCGGGAGATGGCGGTGATTTCTTCACGCTGGATGGTGAGATCCGGCGCCGACATAACCGTCGGGTTGCGGGGGTTTTCCCCAACCAAGTATCTCTCCCACCAGTGAGACACCGCCCCTGCCGGATAAAGCTCTAAGCTCGCGACTGACCTCCCGTTTAATGTGTGGTAGTGTAGTGGATGTGAGTGTGAGTGTGTAAGGGGTGAGGATATGACAAGGAAGAGGAAGGAAATACCGCCCGCGGTCAGTGGCCCGTTTGTTAGGGTATACAACTAGTGTTGATCGGAGAATCACGGAAAACTATCGATCATTGCCGTGCGAATTCTCCTCCAGACAGCGATTGAATTTGAGCGATTGATATAACCGATTTGAGCGATTGAATGAAGCTATTGTCGAAAATCTTTCCACCATCGGGAATCAATTCCTAGGATCTACCGGTCAGAGGCACTGCAGTGACATCACTTGATGCCCTGAGCCATCTAAGTACGTATCATTGTCCCCACTCGCCTGCCGCTGCGGGGACAGCGCAATGAGTGAAGCTCTTTCCAGAATCGATCGCGTCTTACCGGTAGGAACAGAAGCGTCGCGCTGTGATGAAAAGCGATGCGAAAAGAACAAAATCAGGAATAGCATGCACACTTAGTAAACGATGCGGCACGATGTGGAACAGTGAAGTTCCTTTTTTTTGCTCGAATACATGCGAGTAGCGACAGCCATCGGCCATCATTTGCCCAGTACGATTGATGGGAAATTGCTAATACATGACATATTTTCTAGGCCACTGGTTTTTATTATTTACTCCCGAATCCCTCGTTTCACAATTTCAAACCTAGTTTGTTAGTCAAAGCGCAAGCGTCATTTTATTAGAGGTGTCATGAACAATGTTTGGGAAGAAAAACCACGGACAATGGAATCATCAACGAAGCAACGATTTATTTTTTAACGCTCATACATTCCCCATATTCGTGTCTCCTGAGCATTCTTCACCCATCCAATATCTTCGCTTACGCGTTAAAGTTTTCCGTTTCAAATATGGATTCTCTCAAAGAAACAACACGAGTGGTTTCAACATCATCACGTTCTCCAATTCTTCTCGCCACTTCGCATCGCGCCCTGGATGTGCCACTCGGAGCTCTGAGCTCTCTCGTTGAGTTTGCAGTTTCAACCCTAACGCGCCCGGCTCGGCGATTCAAGTTTCTCCCTTTATTGTGCTCATCTCCGCGCTTACCGCTGTCGTAAAGGTATTGTACTCCCTTGTAGAGTTCTGAATGTTGTAACGTAGAGGGTTACTGTTGTCAGTTATCTTCTCCTAGCAACGTGGTATTGTTATAGAAGACCCTAAATAAACAAGGAGAATGCTTTGCGAGGTCGTGGATACCATTTCGAAACATTCTCAGATCCACTCGAATGTGAATTTATTTAAAAGTATGTATATTACGTCGTGTGTATTGTAATAATGACTTCGAAATGCTTAAGTAGTTAGGTAACTGATGAACTGTACGGCAGAAGTCTTAAAAAATATTTTTTTGTTAATAAGAAAAAACGATACACGGGAAATCGATGATATCGAAACTGTGACGCTCTGGAAAGCGAGACATTACAATGTACACCTCCTCATTTTTATCTTTATTACAAGTTTACATTTACATCCTATCCCTAAATATTACAGATTCTTTCGTCAATTCACCTTCACCTACGCAAGCAGAATACACACCGAAAAAGGTTAAAAAGAAAGTTCCTCAGAGAATTTTTAGATACCCTTAGACACAAATCGAGAAGTCTTTTTCGCATTTATTACATATTTAAAACAAAATCGACATTATTATTAAACTAAAATGTACGTTTACGTATCTAATCTCTAATATCTTATAAATATTCTACACTTATTTTAATTATCTTTCGCGATTATAGAGGGACAAAGGCCACGCTTGAATAAAAAAAATACATTTACATTGATATTACAATGAACCTTAGTAGAGGATGTGGTATTGGGTGGCAATATCATCATTGATTTTACATCGTGGCCACATCTGACGTACAATTCTCGAACATGTCTATAGTGGAAAATATTAAAATAATATTTTTGTTTATTTTTCATTTCAATATATTAAGTTTATGGAATCAGACATTCCATAAACATAATATATTACTTTATTTTATGTTTATGGAATCAGACATTTGAAAATTATATTACTTATTATACTAATTGTCAAAATTGATTGGCAAGTTTCTAAGTTTCAGGGTTCTAACCCTCTCAATTTCCCCTTCAATTGCCCCTTCTCAACTGCCCTCTCAATTGCCCCTTCAATGATGGCAATGAAACGGCAGGTAAGAGAGGCATAGAACAATGTTGTGAAGAACTGCAGTGAATTCAAACTCTCAAAAAATTCTGTGAGAGTCATTGCAGTGTCGAACAGTTCATTCAGATATGGAAGACGTTTCTAATGTATGATTTCAAACCAAGGGCATACTTACTCGTTGATGGACGGGAGGACGTTCTGCAGCACGTTGTACGTCTGGAGGGGCAACCAGCAGAACGCAAACATGGCCACAACTATCACCAACATCTTTATCACCTGCGGACAATTCAGAATGACTTCATCAGGTTTTAATGCTTTGAAACAAAAAAAAATAAAGTCAAACAAACAGCATTTTAAAAGGTTTTGTGCAGTAATACAACTGTTGACATTTATTTTAATTTTGTATATAAATGAATTCTGAGTTGTACAGAATTTACAAACAAAATCATATCGATTTCTATCACATTCATGTATTTAAGTTATCATTACTACCAGCTACTGTATTTCTGTTAGTGAACAAGACAATTAAATCTAAAGCACTAACATTAAGATACAATTCATTGTTGTTTTCATTAATGTTTCATTTTTTGGAACTCCCCATAGGTGTCGCATATGTGAGAGTTTTATGAACTCATCTCGTTTTCACGCCCATTTCGATTCCTGGAATTCCAAATTAAAGCATTCACTCTCATAAATATATCATTTGCCCTGTTGGCGCAAAGTGGATCGAAAATTAAATGAGGTTTTCATGCATTTATTTAGCAGATTTTCTTATAGGTATTCATTGCATTGTCATAATAGACAAACGGATATATCGCCCATTCTCTGCTTTATTTTGAACAAAGTAGAGCAGGTACTTTAATAGCGGACCACATTTAACACGTTAATAAGGTCAATATTCTTCATTCCTATTTACTGTTTATTTAATCGAAATAATTTTATTACCAACTTTCGAAAATAACATAAGGTAAACTATTTTTTCTACCCTTTTTATAATTTGATTGATTTGAAAATTGTAAAATCAAATATCTCTAGATTTGCTAAGAATAGGAATTTCAAGTAGTCGGATAATTATTACGATTTAACATTGACATTTTAACGTTGAAACGTTTTGGTGTTCATTGAATGTAGTGCTGAGTAGACTTGGGGGATCGTGTTAGTTCTAGGTACAACAACTAATGGAGTAATTAGTGGACACAAAATGGAGTTGAATGTTACTGTACAACTTCCACGAACAATTTACATTGGAGCACAGATATTCGGTACTTCTACTACTTCGACTAATCTGTGTAATGGTCTAACGTTACCGCGACACGTTATCTCCCAATCAGAATTGCGTTAAACTTCACTAGATCGCCCCTAGAAGCTGGGAGTGGCAGTCGTTACGAACTCTCGCCGGAGCTTTCCCAGAAGAAAGGAGATCGATGTACTAGCGACAAGAACGCGTCATCAGGGGCAGACGTTTGAGTAGGTAAGGGGGAGAGTTGAAGCGTTCCGTCCGTTGGCCAGTTGAGGTGGGAAACTTTGCTGGACGAACACAAATGGTTTTTTTCACTAGTATGCAGTAAACAATCATAAGTAGTCTTGTACTTTCAAATGTTGTAATGAAAGGAAAACACAGGTATCAACTTGTACATTTTGAGATAATTGGCAGTTTGGATATGGAGTTTTTGTGTTAAAACTTTAATCACGTGAACCAATTTCTCAAATGAGCCCGAAAAATACGTCTTTAGAAATTTTGAATAAACGTGGTTTAATCCTAATTTAAAACATGTACTACATTATACAGGTTTATTGTAATACTTAATGCATGTTTTTGTACATAATTTGAATGGTACCTCACCAGAAATTGGCCTTTTAGATATATTATGAGGATGCTCATACATTAAAAATACGCAAATAGAGCAATGTACAAATAAATTACTTATATTCTACATAACGCGCAGTGGATGACATAAACACCAATACACGATCGATATCCCAGCAATGGGAACTCGCGGAGGGTGTCCGTAAGTTCTGATGTCAGGAGTGGGCTGGGAAGCGCGCCTTCAGAGAACCCCTAGGTTATCTACGACCCGCGAGACACAGCTGCACCGCGGGTTGCCTGCCCGCTGTCCCGCAGGGGCGACCGCAACGGCCACCGCCGCGCCGGCCGGTCTCGCGGTGGGTGGAGGGAGGCGAACAAAAACGACGAGCGACGACTTCCGAGAGAAGGACGCTCAGCTCCCGCGCAGCGGTTTGAGAATTGCTCTCGACTTATCGCTCTCGGACGGTCGGCGCCGCGGGGCGAGTTTCGCCGCAGGACGAACCATGAATAGAATGTTCGTTCCTCTTTGGCTCGATAATGTACCTAGAGCCCGGTGGCCACAAAATTTCGGGAATACCGTATTGTTTAATTTACGCCTGAACGCATAGTATATGAAGGGAACATATCAAACTGGAATTCGTTTAACGGATCTTGAGCGTTTCGCTTTCCTTGAATAATTTAGTTCGGAGTTAGGAGAGTTTCACTGTTGAAAATTGAGCACCAACGAACTTGTTAAATAACTTCTCAGGAAGCTTCAATTACTTTGCTTCGGAATGTTATTAGAATTCCTTTTGTTATCGATGACGAAATGAAACTTCAAACATCGCATTTACTCATTCAGTGTTGCACATTACTTAATTTTAGGAGAGAACATCTCTGGGGGGAGAAAAAAAAACAAAAAAACAAATTAAGATTGTTAATGTAACTAACCTAATTGGGGAAATTTAATAAAATTCTCCCTTAAATGTATTTTAACTCATAATGGACGATAATACCCTTACCTACAAATTAAAATAATGTTATCTAACTAAAATATCAGAGAGTTCAATATTTTAGAGAAATATATTAATATTTTATATATTATGTGAAGAAAATTATATTTTTTTTGTTATTGAAGGTCGGTTTACTTCTAGGTCATTACGACCGCCATTGCTAGTAACGGTATGGTAACTGTGAGGATGACACGATATGATGGTGTTAGGGGGGGAAAGAACGAACACAATACAATTATGCCTGAGGCCGGACTAGAACACGCAATCCTTCGGTCCGAAATCGCTACAGCACTACTGCCTTAGTGATCTCGGACACCGGCTCGGCAAATTTAGATGTGTAGTATTTTTTATTAACAAAACTCTGTTTTGTATTCCTATATATAGTATTACGATCTTTGAATCTTTAAAAAAATATTTAAAGTTATAAATATCAATTTTTTCTCGAAGTATTTGCTACGAACGTGAATGGTGAACATCTTTTGCCAGAAGTGATAGTGAAATATCGTTTGACCTTTTGGCATTTTCGCACGCAAATCGCACATCCGGAGGAAATGTGCTTTGAGGCGGGAACGGAATGCTGCGATTCCAGAGATATTGCAAATACCTTTGAAAGCAAACTCGGAATTCATGACAGAACTGAGCTTTCGGCTCAACAAAGGAACGCGCAGGCAATAGAAGCTTGAACTCGTCCTAACGTCGTCACTCGCGGAAACATTGTTAGTGAAGAAACATGTGCACAGGAATGTAAAACCCTAAGATGCATGGCACTCAGAATCACCCAAGGATAACGATGACTGATTAACACAAAAATAATATACACAATGGGTAATTCTTCCAAAATTGCATTTGCTTTTATCTCTTCAATGTTTTTTTGTCGACACAATTCCTCTTGTTATACTTATTTATGTGAATTGTAGGTTATTATACGTGTAGCAATCATAAGCTAAAATATCTTGCTTTCAACGTCTCATTTTTTGTTTATCTGCTGAATCCAAGACATGCATTCCTTCTTTCAAACCAATTTAATTCAAAAGCTTTTAAAACCCACTTTCACGTCTTTTCGAACGGAGAACCTTGAGGTAACGAATTTGCAATTGTGAGCCGCAGATATCATTACAAACGATATCAATAAAGAACAAAATATGTAAAAAAAGTAACAAGGGGGTACATCTATTAAAACTATACATAAAGCAGTCTTCAACCCACAGCTTTAAATGGCATACCCAAAAGATGAAAGTACGTTTTCAACCCTGTGTACAGATTGAGATGCCGTAACTAACATCGCGAAGGATAGAAGTCTGCCATGAACAAACTCCACATCAACATTAATATAATATTCTTTTCTCCGTCTGTCTGCATCGCGCATTCCCCTCTCCGCGCATCTTTTGTGTGCAGAAAAACGACAAGGGCGCACGCTCTTTGTGAACAATTTCGCTCCGACTGACAGGAGGCTCCCGGAGCGGGCGAGGACGGCAGGAGATGTTGACTCGGTTGCGCCAACGGCTCTCCGGCGTCGTCCGGACCGGGGAGATTGAAGGCCGTGCGAATAAAACAAATATTATTCCTAGAGGGGCTCAAAAATGGGAGTTTTCGAACGGCGATGTTCAGCAGATGCAATCTAAGAAAGCGTTTGAGATAGAAATGTGAGGCAACGTCTTTAGAAAGCCGCATCGATAAAGAAGAGAGTAAAGAGAATAGGATTTCAAATTTAAAATGAGTGGTATGGTATTTTCAATGAGAAGAGCTGAATTTTATCGGGGATAATACAAAAATATGAGAAAAAAGTTTCTTTTTGACGGACGATTCAGAAGTTCAAATCGTACTTGCAGTTGTCTTGTATTAAAATCTTTAATATTTTTTATTTATTACTGTTTCTGAATCATACTCATGTTGTTTACAAATGCATTCCTTATATATTCCTTATTCTAAGCGGGAGTAGAGTGTGGGAGGAAAAAATTATGAAGCCCGACTGCGAAAATGCTGGCGTTTGCGGTGGATACTACAATTTTTAAAATTTGTATTTGTGTTACGCAAATTCATAGATAAAAATAAATTTCACACATGTTACATTAGCACGGCTCGTCCATTTTGAGGCACGGGAAGTTACCATGAAAAGTGTCCATTAAAATTCCTGTTAATTTTTTTGGTTCATTACAAAATGACATTGAATTGCTGTCATTTCGATGAATAAAGTCGTAAAATGTATGTAAATGTCGGAAATGGAGTACAATACTTCACAGAGTTTAACCAGTGCTCTGGTAGATGCGCTGAAATCGTGCTCCAAAATGTTTTTTTTTAATTCTTCCCATAAAGAAAACGAGACGCGTCGAATGACATATCTCGTTTATGTCGATTGGAGTTCAGGTCGTGGTGTGACTGTGAGTGACTGACAGACAGTATATTACTCGATTACGTGATGGGAAAGGAAGGCAATACATAATTTTTGGAATGAGTAAATGATTTGATGGATGATTTGT